AATGATGCATTTCTCAGAACTTATCCCCCCCATTAAGCAACGCATGACTGTATTGTGGAATGATTACCACAATTTTAGTTAATATCCATTACTACACACAATAACAAATTGTTTTCCTTGTGATGAGAACTTTTAAGATCTACTCTTTTAGCGACTTTCAAATATGCAATACAGTATTGTTAACTGTAGTCACCGTGCTGTACATTAGATCCCTGGGATTTATTTGTCTTATACCAGAAATTTGTACTTTTTGACCGCCTTCACCTATTTGGCCACCCCACCCCCTACCTCTGGCAACTGCCAATCTGTTCTTTGTATCTGTGAGTTTGGATTTTTTCTTTTAGATTCCACATATAAGTGAGATCATACAGTTTTTGTCTTTGTCTGACATATTTCACCTAGCATAATGCCCCCAAAGAACTAGAAAAAGGAGAACAAACATAGCCCAAAGTTAGTAGAAGGAAGGAAATAACAAAGATCGGAGCAGAAATAAATGAAAAGGTGAATAAAACTAAGAGCTGGTTTTTTGAAAAGACAAACTAAATAGATAAATCTTTGGCTAGACTCGCCAAGAAAAGAGAGAGAGAGGACTCAAATAAAATCAGAAATGAAAAAGGGAAGTTTACAACTGATACTGCAAAAATACAGAGGATCAGAAGAGACTACTATGAACAATTGTACCCCAACAAATTGAACAACCTGGAAGAAATGGATAAATTCCTGGAAACATACAATCTACAAAATGTGAATAAATTTTGAGGAAAATTTTAGTAATGTTAAGGGGTGGACCTTTCCTTAAAGTTTGACTTGTCCATTTTCCTTTCTGGAAAGAATGGTAAAACAGCTCTTGGAACAATGAAGCTGACTTCATTTGCCTGTGTGCCTCTTCCTCCCCTGTTCTTCCCTCACACCCACTCCTCCAGCGTGCTTCTGACTGAGGTTTGGGTGACAAAAGGTTAATTGGATGTAAAAAGCTATAACAACCCTTAAATGGATTTTCTGTCTTGCTGTTTGCACCCCGAAGTAGACTTTAAACCTGGTAAATTTGTTGCTCTCCTTCTCAATACAGTTGGCAGGTAAAACTTAGATGATGATAAGCAGGAAGAATTCTGAATAGCTAGGTACCCCAGACAGTACCATCACAGGCATCCTTTTCAGTGCCTTACAAATGTAGATAATGTTTGTGAGTTGGGCGGAGGTAGAGGTGTTGAAATTCACTCAGTCAGCTGCTTCCCCAACTGCCAATAGGGCTAAGAGCTAGAAATTGTCTCCTTGGCCCCGAACCCATTTAGATGCTGATGATTATGAAGACATGGGAAGTGCAGGGCACACAGACACAGACTGTTTAAGTGGTTTTACTGTGTCTGTCTTTTTCAAACGCTCCCAGGTATAAGCCACCCTGCTCCCAGTTCTGGGTCAAAGGTGGGGTTCTCTCTTGGGATGCAGCCATGGGCTCCAGAGCTGGCTGGGTGGGTCACAGACAGACACAGAGGGGGTTTGTTCTCAGCCTGGAGCCAAGGCCTGCAGGAGACTGTTGATGAGTGTGTGTTAGAGGGAGAGAAGGTGGGCCTCTGCTTTACTTTCCTTGGGGCAGAAATCGTAAGCTCTTGGTAACATTCATAATCCCCACTTTGTTGCAAAGGGATGCATTTCTTTCTCTCTTTGAAATACAGAAACGTAAATGTAAGCAAGCTTGACTTCGAAACAGGCTCTGTCTGTTCCTCTTTTGTTGCAGAAGCTTCTCAACGACAGGGTCTTTATTTGTTTTATTCACCAATTAACCTGTCCCAAGGTGCTCAGGCAGTGTAGGATAGGTGCTCATTAAATATTAGTAGAATTGGGAGGATTGGGAGGGGCACACAGACTTCCACATGGTGGGCCCTAATTAAGAACAGTAGCCAATGTGGTCAGTGCCTTTTGGTCCCTTTTGCTCTTCACGGGAAGGAAAAATCTTGTTGTGGGGGAATCAGGCTCCAGAGGTCCCTGTGGAGGATTTCCCCGAATGATTTCCCTGCCATTCATTCATTCAGTGTGTGAGGTACTATGTTTTACTCTTTGAATGAATGAATGAATGTAGTCACTCTGGGCTTCAGTGTCCTCATCTTTGTGCAGGAAGTTGCACTAGAATATCGCTGAAGAAGGATATTGTGGGGCTGAGGATCATTTTTCTCATATCTCCAGCCTGAATCTCACAACCAAAGCAGCAGGCTCTAGGAAGAAATAGTACTGAATAGTTCTCATTGGTACTGGGGCCAGACCCCCACCCCAACCATGGCGCCTGTAATGGGAAGTGTGCCCCCCAGGCGATGAGCAGTGGTTTTATTCACTGCCCCTCCACTCACTGCGTGGCTAATGATAGAGCTCTGCCGTTTCCCTGTTGGCTACTCCTCTCACACTGTGCTGTGACAGTGATACAGGCATCTGGGGGTGTGGCGAGGTGAAGAGACCCCTGTTTTCCCAGCAGGCAGCCCGCTGATCCCACACATCAGGAGCGCTGCCTTCAGGGATCTTGAGCTGGAACTGCTTATTACTGGAAACGGCAGCGTTTTAGATACTGTCAAGCTGAATCAAATGGAATTGGCCCAGCTGCCCTTCACTGGCGGGGATTATGCCAGGGACTGCTCATTTGTGGTCTGTGTCCTTGGTTTTTCCCTCCTGCCTTGTGCTTCCCAGGAAAAAGAAGGTCATTTTATGGTTCCTTATTCAGGACAAGCACAAAGGACTCAACACTGCAAATCCTGTGACTATTTATATTCAGGCTCATGGCGAATCTTCCTAACCATCCTAATCCTGTAAGAAGCTCCTTGAAAGAATAATACGTATCAGTTGAGTTGGCATAGAAACATGGAATGATTTCCACTGAAATGCTGTTAAACGCCACAGTTTGGTGTTGAGTAGTCATTGGGACAATTGTCTGGATGCTGTTGTCTGGGTTCTTTCCTGAAGATTCTGTGATCATGAGATATAATCGCCACTCTGCAAGTCTGTATCCCATGAGTTCCCTAATAAATGCTCTAAACACCATTCTCATTGTCCACGGGGTCTATCAGCCTCCCCCTTTCCGGAATGTCTCACACACACACACACACCTTCCTCTACTTACATCTGTCATTTCTACTCTTCAAGGTCAACCTTACTTTTGATTTCTTTTTTCTTGAAGGCTTCCTTTAGCATCCCAGATCTCAGTGAGCTCAACTTTGTGTAACAAGTCTGGTTTGTGCCGAGTCCTGACATTTTCTCATCTGTTTACTGTGCATTGCTGGTTTTTAGTCACAGCCGCCGTCTCACCTCTTTAAACCACGCGCCCTTTCTACCTTGGTAAATTGTCAATTTCTTGAGGGGAAAAAAAAAGAACAAGTTCTGTGTCCCTAGCCCCTTGTGTAGAATCATAATACATCTGTCTCTAACACTGATTGAGTGTATTAATTATCCCCATTGTACAGAAAACTGGGGTTTGGTTTGGTAGGAAATTTGAATAAGGTCATACAGCTGATAAGTTTCAGGACAGGATTTAAATTGGGCTTTTGACTCTAATATTCTTTTTCTTTTTTGTTTTAATTATTTTAGCTTTTAAATTGTATTTATTGATTTGAGTAAGTAATACATTCACATGGTAAAAAAAAAATTCCAAAGGTTCTAGGTCTCTTTCATTTATGCCACACCGTACTGGTAACTTAATGCTTGCTGTTCTCGAAATGCCCTGTTATTCTCCTCCAAGAAGCCAGCTTGCTATTTTGACTTCTGATGTTCTATTACTGGCTCCATCACAAAATTTTGGAATGATCTTTTTTACCCTTCTCTCCTCATCCCAGCTTATTGGTTGCTCAAGACCAGCTCATACGTCAAAGGGTCTCAAATCCATACTTGTCCATTCTCACCCATCCCCCGGATCCAGTGGTCACTCCCCCACCCACATGACTGCCTCCCCACCTCCCTTCAACCCATTTCAGTTCATCTCAGGGGAATCTAGAGCCCTTCAGAAACTGCGTGGAGTCCTCCTGCCTTCTTTTTTAAAATTTTAAAACAAACTTTTAATTTTAAAAAAATTATTGTGGTCACCTTGGTTTATAACATTATGTGAATTTCAGGTGTACATCATTATATTTCAGCTTCTTTGTAGACTGCATCATGTTCACCACCAGTAGTCTAGTTTCCATGCGTCGCCACGCGTGTGCCCCTTTACCCTTTTCGTCCTTCCCCCACCCCTCCCCCCTCTGGTAACCACCAATCTGTTCTCTGTATCTGTGTGTGTGTTTATCTTCCACATCAGAGTGAAATCATACAGTATTTGTCTTTCTCTGTCTGACTTCTACCTTCTGATTGTGTTCTCAGCCCGGGGATTAACTGTCTTTGTTTGGCTGTCTGGTTAGTGTTGGTCGTCTGGAGAAGCCACTCTCAGTTTTTACATAATAGTTTTAAATGTATAAAATAAAACACGTAAGATTACCAAGGGAACCATTTATATTAAAGTAGTTACCAAGCTATTTTAAAAGCAAATTTTGATACAGTAATCTGTGTGTCATTTCTTATTATAAGTAGTAAGTAGCTCCTTATTAATACATTAAATAACAAGGTCTCCCAGCAGGTGTGATAACTACCCCTACTTCAAAGTAGCAAAGAGAGCCAACAATATCTTGAGATACCCACAGCATCTATGATGTGGTGTGAACATATCTGTGATCTGTTTGGTGAGGAGTCACAGGTCCTCCTATTACTGTTGTGTGTTACCTACATTCCTAATCAAGGGAAATGCCAAATTTCAGTTTGAGGTTTGTGAAATAAAGTGTTAATTCTTTTCCACTTACATTTGTGGCCCCCAGGTTAAGCCCCTCTTCCTGAGTCTGAATCCCAAGACTCCCTGTCAACTTGTAAGCTTTGGGTCCTTCAGCTCTCCCTGTGTGGACTCTGCACTCTGCACCATACGGATGGGAGAGAAAACTGGGAACCACCGTGTCTAACCTGATCCCTACCTCTCTGTTCTTCTGTTTGCATCTGTGCAGGTAGAAGAAGGATGGTGGGAAGGCGTTCTCAATGGCAAGACTGGGATGTTTCCTTCCAACTTCATCAAGGAGCTGTCGGGGGAGTCAGATGACCTCGGCATTTCCCAGGATGAGCAGCTCTCCAAGTCAAGTAAGGAAGTCCCCCCCACCACAGGAAAGGCAGGAAAGGGATGGGGGCACTGGGAAGCACTGCTCCAGCCTCCACTCTGTTCTGTAGCCTATGCTGAGTGGCTGTGACAGAAGCTCACGTGTGTTTTCTTGGTTATGCTGCCTTAACCCACTGCGGTTTAGTAGGTTTCTCACTGTAAAGGTGTAACCTGCATATCTTTATGTGTGTGCAGATGCACACTCTGTATGTCTCTGGGTAGGTGACCTTCAGCCTTCATGCCATGGTAATATTCCTCCATGGGTGGTCCATGTTGCTGTGCCTCTATATACTTCTGAAGTGTCACTCATTGCAAGTTGATAATTATTTTAAAAATGAACCAAATGAGATTGTTAGTACTTCTCAGTGTCCCTTGAAGAACTTGGAGAAAATGGCACACACACACACACACACACAAATCATTGGTGATGAGAAGTGCTGTGTTCAGGACAAGTGCATGCCAGTTCCCTTAAAAGTATGACAAGACAGCTGAGAATCCAGCCCCACCTTGGGTGAGCATGCATATCCTTCTGTGATGGTGAGAACGAACTCCAGGTCTTTCTTTCTCCAGGGCCTGAAGCTCTCCTCCCTCCAGCTTCTCTGCTGCCCTTTCCAGCTCACGGAGCAAAAGGTCAGGACCGGGAAGCTTTGTCCTCCCAGTCGCTAACCCAACTTCCTACATGGGTGTCTGTGTATCTTTTGTGCCGTGTTGAGCCAAGGTCATGGGCGTGAATGTCGTAAGAGGCTAGACTGTGTCATAGTGGTGTGGCACTACCTGAGGTTGCAGACTTTCCTTTCTAACAAGAGGAGGTCAGCTCAGTCCTGTCAAGATAATTCTTAAACATCTTTCTTTTCCATTTGGAAAAATCTGACTTGAGTGGTGTTCTCAAATTAGTTGTATCTCTTTTATTTAACCTGTAGCGTGATTGGACAAATTCCCCATTTGGAGGTAAAGCCATTTTTGGAGAAGTGCTCAGGAGACCTCCTTCATTTGGTGTCTGAGCAGCTCTGGCTCATACAGCCGTCATACATAGAAACAGTAGTGCTGGCTGGTTGGTTCAGTGGCTTCAGCTATACCGTTTCCCTCTACTGCCAAAGCCTGGGACTCCCCAACCCCTGAACTCCATTCCATCCTAGGGTCTATGGTAGGAAGGATGGAAGGTGATTTTGAACCAAACGAAGCATCTTGGCGCTCCTGCTGCCTTCTCTGGCTTGAAGGGGAGGAATTCTCTGCTAACAGTAGGAGTATGAGCTAACGAGTATGGCTGGGAGGGCAGAAAGTGTCCTCGACCCCATGATAGTGGGAGTTGCTCTAGCTCCCAAACTGCACATTAGAATTCTAACTGCCCTGGTGTCTCCTTTTGTACACTGGAATAGTATTGTACCTGGTAATTTGGTCCTATAATAACAACACTATACCTCAGGATTTGTGGATTAAATGGGCTTTCTTGGAGGGAGGACCAAATGGGGTCATTATACCGTTATTTCCATGGGGAAGTGCATTATGAGCTCCAATAGCAATAATGTATACAAACCACCTCACCCATAGAAAGCCCTCCGTAAAAGGTCGCTCTCATTGTTAATCATGATAAACTCTTGGGACTTAACTAGTTAGTATGTTGAGGCTGCTTGCACACCGATTGGTACTGTGCTCACTGAAGCATTATCTGTGCATTTGGAAATTACTTTGGGATTTCTTTACAGACGCAGAAAAGGAGATCTGGGGAGGTGTTGGACAACCTCTTTGGGAGAACCTTGACCCCTTGGTATCCTGCCATGTTAGCTATGCTCTTAGAGCTGGAAGGTCAGAGAAGTAATGCCTCTTGTACTTTTGGAACTATTGAAATAAACTGTCTCGTCTAGCTCCAAGTTGATAATATGAACATTCGACCCTGCCTGACCCCCAGCTCAAAGCACATGGTGCTGGAATTCCTGGGGCAGATTAGGAGGCTGAGTGGAATCATGTCTCCAATCATTTTGCCTTCCTTCTTGTGCTTGGAAGGGGCTGTTTCTCTTGTAGAGACTGCCTTCCCCAACATTCATTCAATTAAAAGCTTTCCATTTCAGGACTAGGAGAGCCCAATAGTTTCAGCAGCCGTGTTTAGTTACGACAGAATCTTGTCCCTTGTTGAGAGATTTTTGAGGTCCCTGGAAAGGTATGGTTTCCTAACAAGGATGGATGCTTCTGAAAGAACTACATGGTTTTTGTAATCTTCCTGTATGTGTTCCTTAAGGAGAAGAGGGCCCATCTCTCCATCTCTCCATCTGTCTATCCATATCCATCTATCCATCCATCCTTCCTTTTCTTCTATTCTACATTCTTTCAACCTTTGTTGACCCCCTGTTGTTACGAAGACGCTGTACAAGGCACTGAAGATATATGGACACAAATCAGATAGGATCCCTCCCTTCATCGGCTCACCTTTGCAGACAGGGGGTGCACAAATCTGCAGAAGTTTCGGAAAGTGCCCCCAGTGCTCTGTTAGCTGAGTGTCTGAGGAACAGTGGGGTACAAAGGCAGAGAGACCAGTCCCATGGGGATGTGAGACAATGGTGGTCACAAAGAGCTTCTAAAGGGTTGTAAAGCAGATGTGATAATAATGTCCCTGTGGCTTGCCAAATTAAAATAATCCCCTGCAAGAAAGAGAAATAGCATCTCTCAGTGTTCTGATAGGCTTTTCAGTAGCCGTTTACACTCTGGTGGCAAAATGTATATAGTTAGATCACATCACATGCAGAAATTATGTAGGCTGGTAGGATTTGTCTAAGTGGAACCTTTGGTTTTAGAATGACTCTGCTTATCCCCTGCCCCCAGAGAATGGTGTTAGTAGTTTCGATGTGCTAAAAAATTTTTTTAAAATTTAAAAAAATTTTGAAGTAACTATAAATTCACAAGAAGTTGCAAAAAAACCAAAAGAAAAACTCTACAGGGAGGTCCCATGTACCCTTCACCCAGTTTCCTCCAGGGACAGCATCTTGTATAACCATAGGAAATGCATATTTACTTTTACATAAAACTGAGATAGACAAATGCAGTTAATGCACAAAAGACATCTAGCTTTTTACTCTGCCGTGAGCTGAACTGTACTTAATCAAGGTCTTTGTTAGACCAGCCCACTTAATACTCGTCATAAATTACAGTTACTTTTTACAGAGATTGTTTAATTAATACATGGCTCTGGCAGTAAGTTAAAACTCCTAATGTTTGTGCCATTTTGGTAATTTTTAGAGATCCTAGTGACATCATATAAAAACTGTCTTAATTTAAATGCTACCAGACCTTAGGGTGAGGTTTTTAAAGACAGATAAATCTGTATCCTGGTACATATAAAGAAAACTTTGTGTACAATGTATCCTTGTATATCTCTATGCTATACAAACATACACACACCTATATGTGCACATACTTATTTGGTATTAGTCCTCTTCACAATTCTACTTCCGAAAAGTATTTGAGGATAGTTATTCAGTTGAATTTTGTCTACCAGTAGATGAATGCAATAGAAGAAACGTTGCATTATGTTTATGAGGAAGTGTGCCTAGACAGCTTAACACATAGTAGATGTTCAATAAATGCTTGCTGAGTCCTTTCTTACTCTGAGGAGGCATTTTATCCTTGAATGGCAGGTGCAAATTACTTGAACTTACTTTTCTTTTACCCTGATGTGTTTTTATATATGGTGGTTGGTTGTGAAAATCTCTAAATTTGAGATCTTGATTCAGGGTAATCTAATCCATAAGGAAAGAGCTACAGCAATTGTATTGGTTAATATGTTGATTTAAACATTTTATCTCAGATAAGAACATTTATTGTTATGTAGTAACAGAGACTTTTTGCTGCATATTTAAATTTGAAAACATCTTTACCTGTCATTGACCTTATGAAACCTTAAAGGTGCTTTTTCAAAAAGATTTTTGTAAACTATTTATTATAGAAAATTTCTAACATATGCACAAGTTGAGAGAATAGTATAATGAACCCCTGCGTACCTATCACCCAGCTTCGGCAATTACCAACCTACAACCAACTCATTGTAATTACACCACTACACAACCCTCCCCCATATTATTTTGAAGCAAACCCCAGATATCACATAATTTCATCCATTAATATTTCCATATGTACCAATAAAAGGGTATTTTAAAATACTGTTATCACACCGAAAAAAAGCAATGGCAACTTCTCAGTGTAATTAAACATATAGTCACTGTTCACTTTCCCCTAACAGTCTGTTTTTAATACAATTTGTTAGTTTGAATCTGCATCTAAAGAAGGTATATACATTGTGATTTGTTATGTTTCAATTCTCTTTGAATCTATAGATTCCTCCTCCATGTCTCCTTTTTACCTTGCAATTCTTGCTGAAGAAACTGAGGTCCTTTGTCCGTTAGCGTCCCACCGCCTGCTTTTGCTGGTTTCATCTCTGCTATGTCATTTACTCTGTATTCCTTTAAATTGATAATTAGATCTAGGTGCTTAGTGGTTAAATTCAGGTTTACTATATATATAATTTTTTTGCAAAATTGCTTCATAGGTGGTGATGTATGGACTACCCAGAGCCTCATAATGTCTGGCTGTCTTTGTTTTTGAATGTTAGTAGCCACTGATGATTATCACCCAGATCTGTTCACTCCTTATGGCTTACAAAATAGTGCCAACAAGGAATTTGTTTAAAGGAATGAAATGTCCCATGTAACAGATCCATAGTGAAAAAAATATTGAGTAAATTAGGTTTTTAAAAAACAGAACATCCAAGTGGTTGCAATAATAGTGCAGGCAGAAGAATCTTATGTTAGGACTGGAAAGGAATTTAGGGATCATCTAGGCTGATGTCAGATGAGAACACTAAAGCTCAAGGAAATTAAGTCCTGGGCGTGGCCTGGCTTATGAGTGACGAGGCAACGATTACACGCAGGCGTTCCCCACACGCTTTGGTACTGCCGCCATTATGGCCTGTGGTTCACCCTTTCCCAGAGCATCTGACAAATTTCAAGTCTGAGTACGGTTTAGCTTATTTCTTCTCATTATCACAGATCATAGTTAATTAATTACCTTTTCAGTTACAATTTTGCACATGCCAGTATTGACTAAGTAATATGAAATAAAACTAATTCTAATTATATTGATATGATATTATTGTTTCAAATTATAGTCAGAGAATATCCTGAATCTGTAAGATTTATTTGGACTTAGAGGCAAAGAAATCTAGATATGACTCTTGTCCAATTTTGATTTCATACATATTTTGCTTCACATTTGAGATATAAATGTGTCTTTTCTGTTTCTAACATCTTTTCAATATTAATTTCTTACATTCTAAAATAATTGTAAAACTAAGAGGTATTGCTGTCAGTTTTTTTTTTTAAATGTCATTTAGCTACAGAAACATTTTCAGTTATTTCCCATAATTTTCAGAAGGAGTAAGTTTGCATTTTCTTTTTATAACCATTAATAACCGTGAGATTTCAGTTTGAACTGACTTTCTTACTTTCCTAATTCTTTATTTTTGAATTTTAGGTTCTGATGCTTTAGTGACTTGTCAAGCTAAGACAAAGATAGAGATGGCCTTTTAAAACTTAGGGCAAACCACTCCCGTGAAATAGAAATAGTGCGTTTCAGTAGCTATAAGAATATGGATTGCTCAGTTCCCCTCACCTATAGAAACTAAAGCCAGGCTGACAATCTCCCACTCTGTGGCGTCACTATTTTTTTCTTTTTGATATTAGATGATGCTTGTTTTGTGTATGGTGTTCTGTTAGCAGTGAAGAGCAATTAGCAAATTGATGAAACAGTTTCAGGCAAAATTCGGTGCTAGCATAAGCATCTGATTTTGAATTGAAATTTTAAAATTCTTCCCTTTTACAGTGTTTGCTGCCTTCAAGTACTAATATTTAACAGTGACAGTGGAGTATTTCCCCCAGTAAAATAAGCAGTACTCAGATTTGTGAACTTGCCAATTGCCCGTCTCTTTTGCTCTTTAGATAGAATGTGTGTGTCCTCACTCACCCCCTGCCCAGGCTCCACCTCCAACTGCCTTGCTGCCAATGCACAGGGGACCTTCCAGAAATGCTTGGCCATTCAGAGACATCAGGGCCATGGTCTACCTCAGCAATTCTGACTTGGTCCTGGGGAAGAACACGGGAAGGTTCTGTTGTACTTGGAGGAACTTTATTGAAATGGGGATTTCTTTTCCTTACACTTGCTTTTTCTAACACTGAAAGGACCGCTACTGTTCGGTTTTGGAGGGCTCAGCTCACAAAACAGCTGTGTTCCTTAGGAGTCATGTTGCCTTAATGACTGAAGTTAAGCAGAATAAAAATTTGCCCAAATGAAAACTAGCCACTGTTACTTTGCTTTTGTCATCAAAGTCCTCAAGAGCTGCAAGTCTAACAAGAACATTTGAAACACTTTATTGTTTCTTTGGGCTATTCTTATATAGCCAGTGATTTGAATGTCTAAATTTTTACTTAAATTGGATGGAGCACATCTGTCAAAAAGGGCAGATTTCAAAACAAGGATGTACCACCATGCTTGTAGGACATGGAAGTTGGAAATACCTGATTCCATTTAAGTTGCTGGTCTGATCATTCACAGTCTCTTCATGTATTAGGAGTGACATGACCCAAAAGCTGACACTATGGTTCCTATTGGGGTTTCCCATTTTCCTATGGAATGTTTCTAAGAAGTGAGAGGAGTTGTTCTCTCCTCTCTGACTTTCACTCTCTGTAAATGTAGCCTGCCTTTTCATCCCTCAGACTTATAAAACTATATGACTGGCTTCCAGTTTGATATTTAGCTCATGAGCCATAATAGAACTTATTTCTTGAGTCATTTAGAATAATGCATGTATTAATTGAGTTTGCCTTTAGCAAACCATTTTACCTGTTGGTTGTACTCTCTGTCTGTAGGGCATGCATGTGTGTGTGTGTCTGTCTGTGTGTGTGTGTACACTCAAACCAGGGCAGTGTGTGTGTATTCTATGTACTTATTCATGGTTCCAGAGAGATTTGGGCTTTAGCCATGTGGCCAGTCTTATGCTATTGATAACCTCTATTTGTAACAACAAAAAAAGAGATAATTTGACATTTGACACTGGGTGAGTCCTATGTCCTCATGCTTAAGTACAATCTCATGACTGATATGGCAAAACCTCAATTAAGATGTTTCAAGAAATAATAGGGCTTTCTGGTGTCCTCAGTGCTCAGCAGAAAACCCCTTACATTGACTTGGATGCTACTATTGGTTTTAAACCTCATTGGTGAAAACCCACCTCTAGTATATTAATACATTTTCTTACGTAAAGGTACTGAGGATGATAAAATCTTTTAAAGAGAATTCTGTGCCTTCTTTAGAATCTTGGGGTCATAGATATTAGTTTGTATCATACGGGGCTCTAAGGGTAGAAGATAAGGGATGATGGGCCTAAGTCTATATTATACTTGAGTCATATTCTCCAAAGAGAAGATTGTGCTGTACCATTGAGTTAATTAAGGAATCTGATTAATTTGATTCCTTCTGGTTGAGGTTTTCCAATTCTTGAGTTTTAATGTTGAAATGGCTTCTAGGTTTAAATTGGGTGTAATCTACATGCCAGCCATATACAGAGGCAAGCCCTGATTCTGGGTGCTCATTGCCGTCTTGGTTGCATGGGGACTTTGGGCTCATTCTGTAACATTCTTAAATTCTGCCTAATGGTCTCTAATTAATTTTGCGGATGAAGCTCTTGCAGTGGATTCATTGAAGGCAAGTTCAGTTAAAGACTCTTCCTCTTCCTTCTTTTGCCATCATTTGCTCCCCTTTCCCCTTCTCTTGTTTTTCTCTCCCCTTCTCTTCTCTCATTCACTGTCAGGAAAGACTACCTTTGAAGGGACAATTCTGTACCGAGCTGCACCAGGAAAGACGGAGGGCCACAGACGCTATTACAGTGAGTGACCTTAACAGCAGGAGGCGATTGTAAAGATAAGCGCTGGGTCTTGTGTTTTTTGATGCAGCTGCACTTTCCTGAGCTGCTCATGCTTCTGCCAAGTGTCTGTGTGAATTTCTGATCCAAGGACATGGACTTATTTGCCTAAGATAAGTGCCGTCTCCTTGGTGTGTGCTACAGGAGCATCCTCATCACCAGCCCCTGGCGCTTTCTTGTTTGCTTTGTGCCTCTCTCATGTGTGTGACATGCGTGCATGAACCATGCGTGCAGAGAAGGGATTAGGAGCATTTGTCATGGCATATGTATTTGTACCAGTATCTCTGGGCCTCTGGGGCGGTGTAAGATGGTTTCCCATGGAGATGTCAACCTCTCGTGGTTATTGCTTTTTCTGAGGGGGGCATTGGAAACCAATAAACCATTTCTTCATTGCACAGTTCAAAGAAATAAGAATTTGGCATGAAAGTCCATGCCAGAAGTGGTGTTTTGCTTTGCTCATTCAGCCAATCACCACACGGCAGACTTCTTTTGGCAGGATCAATGTGTAGCCTTTTGTGTTTTAAAATAAAGCTGCCAAAAGTTGAGGGGAAGGAAATGAATGAGATTAATGAATGAATCTTGTGAAGCCCTTAGAACAGTTCCTGCCACACAGTAAGCACTATACACGTGAGTGTTAATTAAAACTAAATACCAATGGCCCACGGATCTGAATTGATCAGTGCTGGAATATTAAGGTACATTACACATAAGTGGACAGTTACCTTACTGGCCAAAGCAAATTTGAGGAGGCTTTGTTCTTTTTTCACCTTGAAGGAAAAACATCCACCTTACTGTGCATGTCCACACGTGCATACATAGATATGTATACAGACGGGATGAAAGAGAAGGCTCAGATGTGAGCACCAGAACCGTGCTTCTCAACTATCTGTGGTGAAGTTTATTTTTATTTCCATTCCTCCGTGGGCAGATACCTGATCCTGCTGTGCATGACTTTACTCTGCATGCAGTGCGCCACCTGTGCCTCACCATGGGCGTTTCCAGACCGAGATTGCTCTATACCCTGTTCACCAAGATGAGTCCACAGGCTACACATCTGAAAGTTGCACCAGTGCACACTGCTATAAGCATTTTCAAATGCACTTTCTGCACTTGTCTCTGTGTACCTTCATGATCTGCGGATCACACTCTGGGTTGCACTACCTTCAAGTGTCACCTGGCATCCTGAACATGACCTGGGACATTTTATAGTATAGTGTGTGTGATGGGTACCAGTAGCTAAAAAGATGCAGCATCAAACACACATGAACATGAAAAGTCACCTTTCTTTCCCTCCAAAGGGAAGGAACTAGATTTGGAGTTTATTTCACCAACCCAGATATTCAGATATTTAATTTACATACTTAAAAGTGATGGAAGCAGGCTGCCAGAATTTGTGGAAGAAAAATCTGCCGTGTGTTTCCTTCCCAGCCCATGCTTGTGTGATGAATGACTGTGCAACCTCTCTCTGTGTAACGTACAGTGATTAATATAAAGTTGTTAAGATGAGCCTGAAGGCAGCAAATCCCTGAACCCAGAAGCTCAGTGAAATGAGGATTCCAGTGGTTGAAAGTATTATGGTTCTAGCTAATGAGGAATTATAAAAGAATCCTTCAAATTTCTCTCTTTGAAGGACTGGAACAGACTTGCCCCAACCCATTCGCCCTGCTGCCTTCTGCTGGTGGTGGTGGTGGCGGTGGTGGTGGTATGGAGGAGGGAAGTGATGGTTTCTTTCCACTAACCATTTCTTTATTCCACCCTCAAATGGTTTTTTCCAAGCCAGAAATGAATGTACAAGCCATTTATCACATAGAAAGAATACATACGGCAAAATGAGAACATGTTAAAGGGGAAATGACACAATATTTAGACTCCAAAATTGTATCTCCAGCAGGGATATTTCCAGAAACAATGAACAAATAAATACACGAATGGATAGCTAATCTCCGGGGGTTCGCCATGTTTGCGCGCTCAAATCCAGTCCTGTAAACTGCAGCCGAGCCCCTTGCTGTGGGCTGCTTCTCATTGTTCTGCCCTCTGTTCTTGCTCACAAATGCTGTTCTTTAGTTAATTAAAACGTACACCAGGGATCTTCCTCCCTCCCTCCCTCCTGCTCCTTTTTGGCTTATAAATACCATTTTATTGAAAACAGCAGCAACAACAAACACAGCCATTGTTTTAAGGATTTGATTTTGATACTTGTTAGCAATTTATAATGACCTTTCTATATTTTGTCTGTTTTCAGTTAACAGTTTCTTCCTGCACTGAAACGTCTTTATTTGAATGACTTCGACATTTTATGACACTTTATGTGAGCAATTATTTGGTGTATCATTCTTATATACCAGGAGGCCACCTTACCTATAGGAAGATAACGCACAATTGGCAAATAGAGAACCAAATCTGATGGCGTACTTTCATCCCAAGGTCATTGTAGTCATCAGGAAATATATAGTAAATGTTCCAGAGCTACCTAACACGTCTACAGGCTTTTAGAGACAGGTTTAAATGGCAGGCTTAAGTAGTCCATAGGATATCCTTTGAATCCTGCCTTTTGATGGCGTAACTGATGTACTGACTGTCAAAGGAAGAATGTACACCCAGAAATTAACTAGAAACAAATAGGCTCTTCCTTTTAGGAACATGATTGTGGGCAGAGCCTGGGGAAAAAAGAATCTGGGGAGGTAAGTGCTCATGTTGTCTTGCTGGTAACTATTTTGTGACTTCCAACACAGCCACAATAGGTCAAAGGAAGGGTGTCGTGTCCTCAAGGTTCTTCTTTGGAAAGGAATTTAGCTCTGGGAAAAGAACGGTGTTGATGGAGGGAAGAAGAACCACAGACTTGGGGGACTCTAGCTTCTGGAAGGGCAGCTTCCTTTCTCTCTTTAACAAACACCGTCATCTTGCCAGTGAAAGTGTCTCAATGTCAAGTTTGGTTTAATGCTTTCCTAGAGAAACACGTCTGTGTGCATTTATTCCTTGTAAAGCCATCCAAAGAGATTTAATTCTTTGGCAGTCATAATTTTGTGTGGTTTCTTTAATTGCTAATTTGTTTAAATGGCTTTTAGCTTTACAGTTTCCCTTTAGGAAATGTTACTTTCGTTGCTAATTGCTAATTGACATGAGTCATAGAGATTGGAGGTACAGTATGTGGTACTGACTGGGTGGGGAGGCGAGGAGGGGGTGGCGAGGGTTGTTATTGCACAACCTGCCAGCAAAACAAATTTGGATCAGAACCAGAGTCCAGCTGAAGAGAGGTGAAATGTCACATTTACAAAGAGGTCTGCCTTGAAATTAGATTTTCTGAAAAGTTTTGATTCACTTCTTAAAGGCTGGGGGTGGGGAGATCAAACAAAACTCAGCGCCACCCAAACACAACATATTCAACACACTAAATGCAAAACCCCAGTGCAAGTTACCCTGTACTCAGTGACACTTTTAGGGGTGGTTCCCGGCTGGTTGTGAGGTGTTTCACCACTATGGCTGATTTCTGAGCTCTTTCTCTCCCCGTCCCCCCTCCTGGCAGGTTTAAGGGAAACCACAGGCTCCGAGAGTGATGGGGGTGACTCGAGCAGTACCAAATCCGAAGGTACCAACGGGACAGTGGCAACTGCAGCAATCCAGCCGAAGAAAGTTAAGGGAGTGGGCTTTGGAGATATTTTCAAAGACAAGCCTATAAAACTAAGACCAAGGTCAATTGAAGTTGAAAATGACTTTCTACCAGTGGAAAAGGTATGTCGGACAGTTTCTCTTTTATTTCAACATAATGTGGCGTATCCAAAGGGACAATGCAGGGTTTGGCGTCGGAGGCTGCCTATGCCTCTTTCAGGGTTTCGGTGTCCTCACGTGCCGGCTCTTTGCCTCTCACATTTGCAGCTCGCCCTCTGTGTGGAAACATCTTTCCTCGAAAGGCTCATGTTCTAGTTTGCTGCTGCTTTTCTTACTGATCTCTTCTCTGTGGAATGCTTCTCAGGATGATTTTTCAAATAGACTGGCACTTCTCCATTTTCTCCCCCAGAAAAGCCCCTCATGTCTGGACCCAGCTAAACATTTGACCTTGACACTTTTCAAGCACCCACCAATCTCTCTCTTCTCCTTGTCCATTTCTCTAGTACTTTGTGCTTGGGCATGTTGACTGGTTCTGCAGAAGGAAAGGGACAGTGCATTTTTTCTCTGGGAGTTAGGCGGGAATGATTTCAGACTGCCGTGTGGGAGTGATGGAGATGGCCCATACTGTGACTCCCTGGGTTGTTACCATCAGGAGGCTGGCTGTTTTCTTCTGCCTCTGGTTCTGGGTTGGCAAGAGACAGACAATGTGTTGCTGCTGAGTGCGCGGTTGCCATAGCAACACACCCAGAGCCATGGCACTTGTGGCTGTCAATGACGTCTACTGTGGTACACTTCTAAGCATCATAGCTTTGCTTAGGATTTGATAAATACTGTGGAATTTTCCAGATTGTAATAAGCTACACTCGTGCTGTGCTTAAGGAATGTTTGTTAATTTGATTTAGTGCTGGATTTTTTGCTTTGACATTTGTGCCAGCAGACTTGGGGGAGGGAGCATTGGCAACATCTCTAATGCAGGTTTACCAGTGGCTTTTAAATGTTTTTCATTTCTCGGTGAGATAAATTTTTAAAAGTTGCATCATCTTCCACAGCTGTAGAACTTCCACCCACCTCCTTCCCCTCCCCCCCCCGCCCCCAGCAACTTTGCCCTGTGTCATCATGCGTTAGAAACAGAACCTGAAAACGAAACTTTTTGGACACTTAATACCCTTAGAGATGTATAAGGCGGAAAGGGCAGATGCTTAGGAATGAAAGACTGCTTCATTTAAACTCTTCTCTTGTTGAAGCTTCTCTGAGCCAGCACTGTTTCTCTCAGTAATCAATATGTGATATTTCTCAAGATCTGAAAACTTCCTAGTTAGTATCCCAGCTTGTGAGCTGTTTCACATGGTCACTTTCAGATTCCCATAATTATTTACAAAAGAGCAAGTCCTCATCTTGGAAAGGAACAATGGATGTAGTTTTTCTTCATTTTATTCAAGTGGTTGAAATGAACATGACCATTGACTCACCTGGCAAACAGTTAATGCCTTTTATTTTATGATTCTTAGTCTTATTCTTCTCTGTGTAGAAGGACATTGTGTGTAACTTTTTTATTGCTATTAATATTTGTTTTAACTGCTGATAATAAATTGGGTTATTATTAATGCCAATATCAGCATCAAATGTAATACTCCCATTTGTACCTAAGCTTGCTTCTCCTCTGAACCGCAGAGTCACATGTCCAACTGCCAACTTGAACATCTCCACTTGAAGATCTTCAATTCTTATCAGCTGTTCCAAACCTGAACTTGTCATCATCCCCCTCAAACCAGTCTCCCCACAGCCTTCCCCATATCAGTTAAAGGCATTACCATTTCCCCCTCCCATCGCTCAGGACAAAAGCCCTGAGGTTGTCCCTGACTCCTCTTTCTCACATCCCATGTCAGATCTGCCAGGCAACCCCATCAGCTCTGCCTTCTAAGTATGTCTAGCATCCAGCAGGGCTCATCACCTCCGCTGCTCCCCTGTTCTCTCACCATCACTGCAGTGGTCTCCTAATAGGGCTTCCTGCTTCTCCCCTTCCTCCTATAGTCTAGTCTCAATAGTGAAGCTGGGGCAACACTTTGAAATCCTAAGTCAGCTCATGCTACTCCTTGCTCACACCCCTCTAGAGGTTCCCTGGCGAACCGCAGTGAAAGTCTTCCCCGGGGCCCACGAGCCAAGGTGACCTGACCCCCATTACTGTAGCTCGGACTTCCTCCCTCTCTGCTCTCCCCTCTCTTGCTCCATCCTGGCCCCCTTGCTCTTCCTTAAACATGCCATGCGTGCTCCCACTTGGGTCCTTTGCCACTGTGGTTTCCTCTGCCTAGACATTCTGCTTCCACCTGCCCACCTGGCTGCCTGTCTCTCCTCCCTCAAGCTTTGCTCAGACGCCACCTTTTCAGCAAGGCCTGCTCTGGCCCACTCCTTCTGAAATCTGCCCCCTTGGCCCATTGTGCTTACTTGCACTGCGTTTGTTGTTTTCCATAGCGTATACCCCCTTCTAATACAATATTTATTTTTTATTATGTTTATTATTTATTTTGTTCACTGATGTATGCTATGTGCTTAGAACAGTGTGTGCCACATAGTAGATGTTCAATAAGTATAGTTGAAAGGATAATATTAAAATTGTATTAGCATAGCACTTTAGAGATTACAGACCTCTATAAAATGAAGGTACTGGTGGGATAATATAAGAGTTATATAGTTGAAAATGTAGTGGTTGTATGGTTCACTGCAGCTTTGTGAAACAGAAGATTTATTGCATTGGTCTTGGTAACATGAAATGTTAACTTCATCAGAGTAATATATAGATGTCCGCGCGTGTGTGTGCATCTTGATTTGTGATTTGTTTGCAGAATGAAACCATATGCTGGCAGCTCCCTTAACCCTGTTCTCATTGTGAAACCTCTGGGGAAAATGTAAACTTCCTAGCTTGCTTTGCTCACTGCAGACAATTTTTACAGCATCTAAGAGGATTCAAAACTATCTTTACCCCCTGTTGTTGGCGCCATGGAGAGTTGTGTAGATTTATGAATCCATTATGTTATTGCACAACCTGGCATAGAGCTGATGAGTGTGATAATGTTTTATTAGTGCATAACCTGGTTCTCATCATGTTTGAGATGGTTTTGTGTCCAAGATTTATATTTAAGGAAGGCAGTTTCCTTTGAGAATTGAGCTGGCTGTTTTGATTTTGCAGAAGCACAAATTGGATCTGATGTGACAGCATGTGTTAGGTAAGGCCCAAGTAGGTCTTCCATTCAGGCTGGGGCAGTTGGCTTTCTGACATGGCTAGTTTGATGACTTGGAGGAAGGGAAAAAGAAATATGATAATTATTAACAGCTGCAAGCATTATATTATTCTTTCCATTCAAGTTTGTGAATGTTTTGAGATCCACTTTTCTGAGTCAGTAGAAAATTTTGTGCTTATTATACCTGTGCTTCATATCACCTTCCTGAGGGTGGTTGAATGCTGATGATATATACCAGGAGAGATACTATATAACACTTCCCCATCAAAATAAAGAAATAGTGAGTAGTATTGCTTCCCTTACTGAGCTTTAAGGAAGGGCCCCATTTCTGAGTCTTTTTAACACTAGCGAATGGATACACCTGTGAATGACTTGTTTAATGCACTATTTAACTGAAATATTTACAGATGAAATGATTTAATGTCTGAGATTTTACTTCCAGTGATTTGGAAGATGGAAGAGTGAGTCGGTTACAGAGGAAACAACATTGGTCATGAGTTGGTAATTGTTGAAACTGGGTGGTGTGTAATGGGGGTTCAGGACACTATACTCTATTTTTGTATATGTTAGAAATTTCCCTTGATAAAAGTTTAAAGGGAAAAAAGAACCTTGGGAAAAAATGTACCATTTAAGCTAAGCCCAGAGGTAAGTATGTGTTATATCAAAATAATGGAAAATACAGTGTAGCTAAAGATGAACCAAGTTACATATCATAAGATTAGAAGGGCATGGCGTCATTGTTTAGCTGATTGACCTTGATGAGGTCACTTAGCCGCAAATTGGCCATCTGTAAAATGAGAATATTTTTTATACTTATCCTAACTCATAGGACTTAAAAAAAATGTTATTTAGCTGAAAATACTGTGAAATTGTAAGTGTAACTCATTTCAGCCAGTATTTATTGAGTACTCACTATATGCTCAGCACTGGGGATAGTAGTGGTAAACGAGACCAGGTCACTGCCCTCAGGGAGCTGCAGAAAAGTAAACAAGCAATAATAACACAGTGTGAGGAATACCGTGATCAGACTGAGAACACAGCACTGTGCCACAGGAGCCCTTGGGCATGGCAGGAAGTAGTGAGTTGTAAGGAAGGCTGGAGAGTGTGTGTTCATGTGCATGTGTAATCTCTTCCTATAGGAAGTGATGTTTAGACCTATAGGAAGTGATGTTTTTAGGCCTAGAGGAAGTAGTGTTTAGGCTGAGAACCATGCCATGGATCCAGTAGATATTCATCAAGCAAAGGAGCATAGAGTTATCAAGATGGAAACAGCAACATGTATAAATGTCTTGAAGGGAAAAAGAAATAGCACAGAGCATGTGTCAAGGCTCACAGGAAGTGGGGAAAGATGAGAATAAAGAAGCAGGGCCTGGATCCGGAAGGGCCTGGTGAGACTTGTTAAGGAGTTTGGAATTGATCTCGAGGGCAATGGGGTGCTATTTTCAGCAAGAGAGTGACGTGATCAGATAGGTGGTTTAGAGAAAGTATTCCAAGCTACAGTGAGAAGAGTGGGTTACAGAACACAGGGTAACTAAAATTCAGGAGAGAAGTTAACAGAAAATTATATTGGCTCTCCTGCTAAATACCACCCCCCAACACACTCTAGGTTCTGAATCAGTTAATGAGTGAGATGAGTCAGTGGATGGAGAATCAAAGTATTATTTTTGTTCATTTTTTTCAGTATGGATATCCAGTTGACTCAACACTGTTTATCGAAAAGATCATCCTTTCTGTACTGCATAGCCATATCACCTTTGTCATAATTTAAGTGGCTGTGTATGTGTGGGTCCATTTATGGACTCTCTGTTCTGTTGGTCTATTTGTTCTTGTGCCCATTCTATAGTTCCTTAATTACTGTAGCTTTATAGTCAGTCTTGATATCTGGCA